AAGACATGAATCAATGCAAGTTCAAGGCTGCTTGCAAAACATTAGTAAGTCTGAATGTGACAAAGATTCTTGTGAATCTGAATGAACAATTTCTTGAAAGTGAATGAAAAAGAATGTGAACCTGAAAAGGAAAAGACTAAGAATTTGTAATGAAGGCTTCTGAATGTGAACATGACTGAAGGCTTCTGTAAAAACAGCCAATTTATCTGAAGCATCATGTCTGACTGACAGTCTGAGTCCGTGACCCGGGGGAGAGCAGAGCGCACCGCCGTGGGCAACACCTTGCAAGCGGGGAAGTTGCATCATCTCGTCACTCACAAAATCAAAGTCAAAAAGCAAAACTGAAAATCAAACTCAGAAATAATATAACTATCATGCTCAGAAAATCACAGAAACCCAATGATAAAATACTCCATCAGAACATCATAGTCCGAAAATAACTCTGATTCAGAAAATCAAAGTCAGAACATTCGACTTAAATTCAACAAATGCTCTGTCAGAAAATCAGGTTTACAACACAATGTTCACGCTGTACTATAAAGTGGACTTGTCTGATGTGTGGTTCAAAGCCTCCGACAAGCGGAGCAGATGGCCTGGCCGGATAAGTAACAACGTCCAAGCACACGTAAATTGTTACGTCGCCTGACAGCAAGAAGGTCCTACTGAAGCATCGCCCTTTTTAACGCCTTTTTGAAGCAAGAAGGTCCTGCTGTCTCAAGATACCGGGCCAGCAACTTTTAATTACTAATTCATCATTTGCCTTATCAGCACTCAGTCGGTATCGCTCGATGACGGGCTCGTGTGTCAAGCTACCTAGCCCTGATGGCGGTGCATATGTGCCTTCCGCGATATCTTCTCTAAAGCCTTGGCCGCGCCAAGCGCAGTCTTCTCTTCAAAGATGATCTTGTGGCATTGCAGGCATCTTTTTTGGATCTTGAAGGCATTCGTTCCGGCCTTGGTTGTGTAGAGGTGATTGCACCCAACCTTGTGATCTGTCCTTTTGATCAGGGGCTGATGCTCTGTCCACGCGAAGAAGTCGCATCGATCTTTTCCTTGCAGAGGGCACATCCAATAAAGTGGTTTTTCGTTGCGGCTCACTGCCAATTGGGCCCCTTTCCGATGAAGACACAGTGGCGGTGTTCCCATCATCAGGTAGATCTCTGGTGTGATCTCTCCACTGGACATGTCTTGGCTCTCTGGTGTGATCTCTCTCTGGTGTGAGCTCTCCATCTCCACTGCGTCCAAGATGTCCCACGAAGCCTGGCTCGTTGAGTCGGAGGGATCCTTGGGCTCGTTGGGTATTCCTCGAAGCTGGGCTTGTAAAGTGCTCTTCTGGTTGAACATCAAAGGTAAGGGTGGCACTAGTCGGGTGACCAAAGGTGTCAAGCGCTTCGTGACATAGATGACCATGGCAAGGATCCGTCGCCACATCTCCATGGGATTGAAATAGGGTTCCATGGCTATTGGTGGTGCAAAGCCCCTGCTGGCCTTTAGAGCCAGGGCAAATGCCTTCAGAGCCAAGGCTGTAGTTTCCATTCACAATCACAATCGCAATCACAATCACAACGCGACTTGAGCATGGTACCCGGAAGTGATACATGAGGTCCACCAAGAAGGGCATATCGAGTTGTCCAAGACCACTGGGCCATGCTGGTGGGGATCAATGACACCTAAACTTGGCTCTGGACCTCCCATGAACACATGTGGCTACAAGATTCTCCTACCCACAGCAGTATGTTGACACGCAATATCAAGAGCAGCACATGTGCAGGTAATCTGGCCATGGCCGCCATGAGTGTGAATCTCATCAGCTTTGCCGCCACGACTGGGTCCTGCCACAGCAGGCATTCACGATGAATGAAGACTGAACTGTCCACTGACGGGTTTGATCTTCGAATGTTGCTGAGAATCATTGACTCTTTCGTGCATCAAAGGTGGAGGTCCTCCATCCCCCATGTACAGTCGTACCCAGGTTCGGCCGTACGTCATCCTATGATGCTACGTGTGATCGGTTGACTGACGGGGACAACCAGCATCATAGGTGAATGTACGGCCGAACCTGGGAACGACCGTGCATCGGGGATGGAGGTCCTCCACCTTTGTCGCACATGAGAGTCACTCAAAGAATTCGAAATCAAAATCTTGGCTGACCGGACATGGGACCGAACGCAGGTACGAACGACGTGGGCCCGAACGCGGGTACGAACGACGTGGGCCCGAACGCGGGTACGAACGACGTGGGCCCGAACGCGGGTACGAATATGATTTTTGTCTGGTTGCGCACAACGACATGCAAATTTTGGATTCTGAAATTTGAGTCTGAACCGTTGCAAAGTCATTGAGTTTGAGTGATGAAACTTGAGCTTGACACTGAGACTGATTGAGAATTGCTATGATGGGGGTTTGGTCTTGCAGACATGTTTGGCGCCCCGCCACACGCATATCAAATTGATAACAATTGCAACTTCATCACACATTCTCACCTTCGGGCTCAAATGCACGCCACTTCATTCCGCTTGAGGCAGAAACAATCTAGGCCTGCATTTGTGCCATTTGGCCTGGAAGCGTGGCCACTTCGAGGTGGTATGTGGTTTCAGAAGTCACATGTTGTGGCACAGAAAGTATGTTCAAATTCTGACAATGGCTTAAGAGGAGTATTTTCATTTACAAATCCATGTTTCACACTATTGTTCAAGTTCAAAGGCTCAAAGTTTGGTGACCTGCTCATCCATGCACAACATCAACCGTTGTGGGTCACTGGGAGGCAGGTGGGACAGCTTAAGTGATTCGGTCATAATATATCATAAATGGAAAATTTTTTGATGACACTGACTGAAATTTCCAAAAAGAGCGGTGCAACTTGCAACCCGGCCTCGCGTCGCAAGTGGCTGCATAGTGAAGGTGAGACCTCAGGGAACACAATTAAAAAACAATCAAGCAAGGAGTGTGAAAACTGGTGGCTGCTTCATCATCCACAGACCAAGCTCGTGATTTTTTCCGCACATAGTGCGTCGAAGGTCTGCACGGTCTGCAGTCCAAAGACCAAAATTCCGTCTGGTCACAAAACCAAATTTTGGTTCGTCACAAGTCACCAACCTAAGTTCGTCCTTTAAAGACCAAGTAGTGAGCCCTTTGTTAGTGCTCAGGTTCTGGTCCAGGTTCCTGTGGCGAGTTCCACGAAGACATCATCGACGACCCAGGTGGCAATTCACTGGACGCCTCAGACTCAGAGGCCACTGGTCTGGACGCCCAACGTGGCATGGACGCCCAAGGTGCTTCAAAGGCCACAGGGCTGGACACCCAAGGTGGCCCTTGATTGGACGCCTCAGAGGCCATTTCAGAGTTCACTGGACTGGACTCAGAATGTGGCCATTGCCTCGACGGCTGCGAGGCCATTTCAGAGGCCATTGGACTGGTGACGCTTTGTCCAGGTTGTGGGCGCTTACGCTTGCATGGTGGCCATTGCCTCAACGCCTCAGACTCCAGATAAGCGGATGCCCAAGGTGGCAATCGACTGGACGCCTCAGAGGTGGATGCCGAAGGCGGCGACGAGGAAGACGCCCGTGGCCAGTGACCGGACGAAGACGCCATTGGATCAGACCACCAAGATGGCGGTGCCATGTCGTGACCTGCTGCCCAAAATTGATCCAAAAATCGGTTGACACGCAGTCACAAATGTCACTGAGACAAGGAGGTTCAAGATGAACATACTGACATATCAAATATTTCTGAAAATTCAATTCGACAATCTGATAATTCAAACCTGGCATCATGAAGCTCAGTGAGTCATGCGGCATTAGTGGGTGGGCCTTGAAGTCTGCCAGAAATTTAAGTCAAAACATGTGGCTGAGATTGCGACAGCCCAAAATCAAGCGGTGCGGTCGTCCTGCAGCAACATGCGCGTAACCGCGGTGACACTTCTGGAAAAATCAACTGGATCAACAACGATGGGTCGTAGCCGCTGTTTTGGATTTCCTGCCTATTTTTCTGCGCGGGCACAGCATGTTTCACCCTCTGTTGGGCCCAAACTTAAATCCTCCGACGGTTGGAAGGTGGACCAAAGCAAAACAGAGTGGGAGTTGCTCACCTGCGTTCCTGTGCAAGCCTGTCTTTGCATGATTAATAGCAGCAGTGACAGTCACAATGGTAAGAATATTGAAATGTCACGAATGATGACTGCTCACCAAGGAAAGCAAAAATGGTGAGAAATGAAACACGCCTCACCCACTTGTCAATTGGCAGTGGCTATCATTACAGAGCTGCTGCTGCTACTGCTCAGTGACCATCATCACCTCCTTTTTGCCTTCACGATCACACAGATCACACCAACAATCTTATGAAGTAGCCTTTACATTGTGTCTCTCAGGAGAGGTCAGGTAACCCTTCAAGTACGGGTAGTAGCACGATGGGCACGCTCTCTCCCCGGCAACAGATTGTAAGAATCGAATTGCTGCATCTTTGTTGGGCCATCCGCCATCGAAAGCTGGCATCGCTCAAGTCGAAAGTAGCAGGACGGAGGTAAGAGCTGTACTTAGGGATTGCGCTCAAACCTAGTTCTCGAGCTGTCACGCTTTCTTCGGATCATGGCACATAGGGGTTTCAGCAGTTTCTTCTCACATGTGTTGCTGTCACAGGTTGAAACAAAGAGTTTGAAATCATGTCACATAAGAGTTTGAAACCATGTCACATGATAGCTGAAAGACTGTTTCGGCTGCAGCATCCAATCCGCCCATGCATTCGGTCCTGGCGCAGCAGTCGCTTCAGCCCACTGTGTGGCTCCAAACCCTGCAGCAGAAAGGCCACACAGCGAGGCGGAGCTCCATGTCGTTTTTTCACTAGCTTTGGGGTGAACGGACATCACAGCGCATTGCGCACGAACCTCATGACTATATAATCTTGGCTTATGCGGGCTTTGACACCTGCGAAACTGTAACCTGCGACACCAACATTCCAACCTGTGAAGCGCAGCCGCCGCGTCCCAATTGCAGCCTGAAACAACAGAAAATTGTATTCAAACAATGAAAGAATCAAAAGGTTCCACAGCAGCAGTCGAGAAGCAGCTCAAATGCTGAGTTGATGACTTAATGTGTCAATGACAAAGGTCGGTGACAATGATCTGGCAGCATCAAGGCATGAATTCTCAAACTTAGCAGCATTGAAAACAAATGCACCGTGACAGTGACTCCAATGCCAGTTGACAATGACCCTGAATGGTTGCAATGAAGTGCACTCCAATGACAGTCTTTGCCGTTTCACACGTGATGAAAAACTTTGCCCACACCCACAATGAAGCCCTTCAAGTTCAAAACCCAGCCTTGGCTCTGACACATGGGAAATGGGACAGGATCATCATCATCTTCCAACCAGGTCTCCTCCAAGGCAGCATGGCAGAATACAAAAGGTCCCCTCCTGATTCCTGATCACTGTTTACTTCTGTCTGCAACTGTCTACTTAGCCCTTCAACAGTCTACTACTGTCTGTGGTCACGTTTTCCTGGGGAGTCTTCTTGAAGTAGCGCCTGACACTGACCTTATCTGATTCTGAATGCGGCAAGGTTGTTGGTCAAGGTTGAGTTCAAAACTTCTGGACTGTTCAATGCCCAGTCAGTCGCCGGCCAGCCTGAAAGCCAAAAGCTCGCACGCAGCAGTCTTGTGGACGCAATATCCTTCCCCAGCGAATTCGCTACCAGCTGTGAAAGGTTCAAACTAAACTCAAAGCTAATGACGACATTGATTCTGATTTCCTTAATTCCATCGATTCTGATTTCTTTCAATCTTTACCGTCCCACGAATCTTCGTGCCAGAAATTCACTCCCCAATGTTTTCAAGTGGACAAGATTTTGCAGTACAGCATGTTGGAACGTTGAAAATGAAATTCGGCATGTTCTTGGATGAAGCCTTCCAAGACATGAACGTTTGCTCGCCTTCAAAGTCAGCAGGAACTTCGTTACCTGATTCCAAATGATGCTGAACCCAATTTCTGCATGATTCGCTGCAAGGTGGAAACGTGAACCTCATTTTGCAATTCAACTCGTCGCAACTAAAAATGGAACAGTTTGCCACTGAGTTTGAATTTGAATTGCGCTGTCGCATAAATCGCATGAGCTTGAATGTGAGTTTGGCTGTCACATGAACATGAGTTTGAAGTTGACATGCCCGCTGCCATAAACCAAGCTGCATGCGCATTTTTCCATCCACTGCAATTTATGAATAAATCCAGGCCCACAAGACCATCACAAAATCTAGCCATGCTAGGATTCTTGATCAAGCCGGCATCCTTTCACGTATCGAACTCCTGAGTGGCCTGTACCTCCTGGTTCGTCTCGTCCAAACGTCGTGCGTCTTCTCGGATCTGGGCCATCATTGTGTCACAGCTTCGAACCACTGTGAAAGGCCTAGCAGGGGGAAGCCCAGCTTCATCTGCGGACCTCTTCAAAGGTTTCAAGGTACCGCTAATCTTCACATCTCGGCCAGGACCCTGGATGGACAAATTGTATGTCCAAGCCATCGGATGATACGCCTGGTGGCCGGCAACAACTTTCTGACACTCAATCAAAAGATGACGCCGGTAATTTACAATTTACAATCGCAAAAATATCGCCGACCATTTAGTCTGTGTCAC